GGGGGTAGGGGGAGGGGTAAACCCCTCCCCGAAGGGGAAAAGGGGGTTGGAAGAGAAACGCGTTAGACCACCTACGCCCTAAAGGGCTGGTGGGATAATCCTTTTGGACTAGGGAGCGCCAGGGGAATCAACGAGTCTTTCCGAGTCCGCCCGCATCACCGTAACTCCTCCCATCAGCGTCATTGGCCGTCCGAGAACCAAGTGGGCCGATTCAATAGACTTTCCTGCGGTGCACGCTGAGTTGCGCACGTGCACTGCAGCGCCAACCCGCACGACAGGGGGTAAGGAGGAGGAGGAGGAGGAGGAAGAGAAAGAGGAGGAGGAGGAGGAGGAGGAGGAGGAGGAGGAGGTGGAAGTGGAGGAGAAGGGAAGAGGGAAAAACGTCGCATTCGATTCTCAACACTGTCCTGGTGTGGCGCTTCCGCAGCAGATCCTCACGTACAGGCTTCCTCTACTTGTCCTATGCACGCAGGCATTGTGGTGTACAGTAGCGCTGTGTTGCACGCGGATGCTGAGGTGTAGACAGGCGCTGTGGCGTGCACGGGCGCCGCTGTGCACCCAAACAAGCACGGTGGTGTACACAGGCGCTGTGTTGAACATGCTTGCTGCGGTGTGCACATGTACACCGGCGCTGTGGTGTACGCAAGCACTGCAGTGTACACAGGCGCTGCGTTGCACACGGTTGTTGCGATGTACGCAGGCGCTGTGGTGTACACGCGCGATGTGGTGCACGCGACCGTTGTGGTGGACACAGGCGCAGTGGGGCTGATCGCCACCTACATGCTGCTCGCGTCGTCGTCGTCGTCGTCGTCGCTTGTCGCTCGTCGCGTCGTGCGCGCGGGCGCGGCTGCGGTACCGGAGCCACACGGCGGGGGGGGGCGTTACGTCATACCCCCCCCGCCCCCACCCCCCCCCCATGACGCCCGTCATCGCCGAACATAAAGAAACGCTCCCTTTTCGAACGCCATGTCTCCTTTGCTGTCCTGATTGCCGCACCGTGCCTCTGCCTAGTCGTCTACCTTTTCCGCCGTTTTCTCGGGTCGGGGGCGCGCCCAGACATCCGACCGTGCCCGTTTTATACACGTTTGTTTTCGTTCCGTTCGCTCATCCGAAAAGAAGGTTCACCATCTACATCCCATTTCGTAGTCCTTCTCCTTGCACCTTGTTCTCCTCCTCCTCGTCCTCATTCCTCCTCCTCTTCCTTCTCCTCCCCCTTTTTCCTTTCGTTCCTCTTCCTCTTTCTCCTCCTCCCTCGTTATCCTCCCTTCTCCCTCCTCCCTTCCTCCCCTTTCCTGATGCTGTCTAGTTTCTTTTTTTTCTCATGCTCATCTCCCCTCTCCTTCGCCTGGGGGGTCACGAGCGCTCCTGCGACGCCTCCCCCAAGCGCGCTCGGAGGGTTTTGCCGAGGGTCTTCCTCGAGGTTTACGAAGGTTCGAGGTATGTCAGGAGTCCAGATCCCCATTGTCGTTGTCATCATCCTGCCCCGCCCACTCCCCGTCGAGTCTCGGGTTGACCCAAAAGAACGAAAAAGGGGCTGGTGCAATATATTTGGGGCCTGCAACATACTCAGGTGCGCAAGCGTATTGATGGATTTTCGCGTGCAATGCAATGCAACATTACCCTGCGACGTATCCAACCCTTTCTACACAAGTTGCAATGGCATTCAGGACCACTCAATACCGAAGGACATTTCGGCGCCATGGTATAGTGCTGATCTGCGTAGGACGTGCCTCCGCTGAGCCTCCCAGAAGCCCATGCGCGCCAGGTGAGCCAGGCGCGCCAGGCGCGCCAGGTGCGCCAGGTGCGCCAGGGGCGCCAGTTGCGCCAGGCGCGCCAGGTGCGCCAGGTGCGCCAGGTGCGCCAGGTGCGCCAAGCGCGCCAGGTGCGCCAAGTGTGCGCCAGGTGTGCGCCAGGTGTGCGCCCGGTGTGCCAGGTGCGCCAGGTGCGTCCAGCGCACCAGGTGTGCCAGGTGCGCCAGGTGTGCGCCAGGTGTGCGCCAGGTGCGCCTAGCGCGCCAGGTGCGCTAGGTGCGCCAGGTGCGCCAGGTGCGCCAGAGGTGCCAGGTGCGCCAGGTGCGCCAGATGTGCAAGGTGCGCCAGGTGCGCCAGGTGTGCGCCAGGTGTGCGCCAGGTGCGCGCCAGGCGCGCCAGGTGCGCCAGGGGCGCCAGTTGCGCCAGGCGCGCCAGTTGCGCCATGCGCGCCAGGCGCGCCAGGTGCGCCATGTGCGCCAGGTGTGCCAGGTGCGTCAGGTGCGCCCAGCGCGCCAGGTGCACCAGGTGCGCGCCAGGTGCTCCCAGCGCGCCAGGCGCACCAGGTGCGCCCAGCGCGTCAGGTGCGCGCCAGGTGCGCGCCAGGCGCGCGCCAGGTGCGCCAGTTGTGCCAGGTGTGCGCCACGTGTGCGCCAGGTGCGCGCCAGGTGCGCGAGGTGCGCCTTTTTGCGCCAGGTGCGCCAGGTGTGCCAGGTGCGCCAGGTGCGCCAGATGCGCCAGGTGCGCCAGGTGCGCCAGGTGTGCGCCAGGTGCGCGCCAGGCGCGCCAGGTGCGCCAGGTGCGCCAGTTGCGCTAGGCGCGCCAGTTGCGCCATGCGCGCCAGGCGCGCCAGGTGCGCCAGGTGCGCCAGGTGTGCCAGGTGCGTCAGGTGCGCCCAGCGCGCCAGGTGCACCAGGTGCGCGCCAGGTGTTCCCAGCGCGCCAGGTGCGCCAGGTGCGCCCAGCGCGTCAGGTGCGCGCCAGGTGCGCGCCAGGCGCGCGCCAGGTGCGCCAGGTGCGCCAGTTGCGCCAGGTGCGCCAGGTGCGCCAGTTGCGCCAGGCGCGCCAAGTGAGCCAGGTGCGCCATGTGCGCCAGGTGCGACAGGTGCGCCAGGTGCGCCTGTGTGCGACAGGCGCGCCTGGAGCGCGCCAGGTGTGGCAGGTGCGCGCCAGGTGCGCCCAGCGCGTCAGGTGCGTCAGGTGCGCCCAGCGCGCCAGGTGCGCGCCAGGTACGCGCCAGGTGCGCGCCAGGTGCGCGCCAGGTGCGCCACGTGCGCCAGGTGCGACAGGTGCGACAGGTGCGCCAGGTGCGCCAGGTGCGTTATGTGCGCCAAATGCGCGCTGGGTGCGCCAAGCGCGTCAGGTGCGTCAGGTGCGCCAGGTGCGCGCCAGGTGCGCGCCAGGTGCGCCAGGTGCGCGCCAGGTGCGCCAAGGAGACAGGGAGGCTTCAAAGTGGTCTGCGTAAGCGTACCTCCGCTGGGCCCCCCAGGAACCCACGAACGTGGCGACATTTGCACATATCGCAGCCCCGCAGGGGACAGGGAGGCCTCAAAGTGGTCTGCGTAAGCCGTACATCCGCTGGGCCTCCGAGGAACCCAGTGGCGACAGTTGCGCAGATCGCAGCCACGCAGGGGGCAGGCAGGCCTCAAAGTGATCTGCGCAGGGCCTCCCAGGAACCCACGAAAGTGGCGACAGTTGCGCAGATCGCAGCCCCGCAGGGGACATGGAGGCCTCAAAGTGATCTGCGTAAGACGTACCTCCGCTGGGCCTCCCAGGGGCCCACGAAAGTGGCGACAGTTGCGCAGATCGCAGCCCCGCAGGGGACAGGGAGGCCTCAAAGTGATCTGCGTAGGACGTACCTCCGCTGGGCCTCCCAGGAACCCACGACAGTGGCGACAGTTGCGCAGATCGCAGCCCCGCAGGGGACAGGGAGGCTTCAAAGTGATCTGCGTAGGACGTACCTCCGCTGGGCCTCCCAGGAACCCACGAAAGTGGCGACAGTTGCGCAGATCGCAGCCCCGCAGGGGACAGGGAGGCCTCAAAGTGATCTGCGTAGGACGTACCTCCGCTGGGCCTCCCAGGAACCCACGAAAGTGGCGACAGTTGCGCAGATCGCAGCCCCGCAGGGGACAGGGAGGCCTCAAAATCATCTGCGTAAGCCGTACATCCGCTGGGCCTCCCAGGAACCCACGAAAGTGGCGACAGTTGCGCAGATCGCAGCCCCGCAGGGGACGGGGATGCTTCAAATTGATCTGCGTAGGACGTACCCCCGCTGGGCCTCCCAGGAACCCACGAAAGTGGCGACAGTTGCGCAGATCGCAGCCCCGCAGGGGACGGGGATGCTTCAAATTGATCTGCGTAGGACGTACCCCCGCTGGGCCTCCCAGGAACCCACGAAAGTGGCGACAGTTGAGCAGATCGCAGCCCCGCAGGGGACATGGAGGCCTCAAAGTGATCTGCGTAGGACGTACCTCCGCTGGGCCTCCCAGGAACCCACGAAAGTGGCGACAGTTGCGCAGATCGCAGCCCCGCAGGGGACATGGAGGCCTCAAAGTGATCTGCGTAGGACGTACCTCCGCTGGGCCTCCCAGGAACCCACGAAAGTGGCGACAGTTGCGCAGATCGCAGCCCCGCAGGGCACCGCGAACACAGGAGAAAAGAAGGAGGAGAGGGCGGGAGCTGGATACCACAGTGCTCTATTCAAAACGAGTACCCAACACAAGCAGGGTTGGGAACAATTTAAAATTCTGCAACGCATTAGCTGCAATATTTGGAATCCAATTCTCTGGCGTTATATATGTGCAAAACGATGGCCCACATCTATTGCACCACCCTCTTTCAGCTGGACCCATTTTTGGGACACGAGGAGAATCTCAGGGGCAACGTACGTTTTGGGGGGGACGTGTCGACCCCAGTCGCCCATGGGTCGCCGAAAGGGGATCGTTAGCCCACCCCGCCCAGGAGCATGCGAATTCGCTCTAGGGGGCCCATCGCCGATCTATCGACGATGCATCGCCGACCCTAGGTAAATGTCCCCCCCCCTTCGCTCCTTGCGCCTCTCCCCCCCGATCGTTGCCCCTCGAAATCGGACGATGATGGCCCAGTGTGAGGGGAGGAAATCGGCCTAGAGTCTCGCGCACTGGGCGGCCCGGGAGGGGTTTGGCGGACTTTGAGCTACACCGTTGCCGGGAGTGCAAACGCATTCTTGTCCGCCATACTTCTTTTGGCGGTTGTCATATTTGTATTTGGCGTCATGTTCATGCAGGCCCCCCTCCGCCTCCTTGCTCTTTCGTCTCCCACTCCTGCGTCAATTCGGATCCGATCGACCAGATTCGATATCGGTTTTTGCTGGCTCGATCCGAGTCAATTCCAATAGTTGAGCGATCCGATGCGTCCTGATTTTCGAATGGCGCTCTTGTGCATCCTGGTGCGGCCGATCCCATAAGATCTTCAGCCCGTGCCGATGCGGCCCGATCCGATGCACTTGCCGATCCGATCCGATTCATCGATTCGATGCTGACTGACCCTGCTGCCTCCGCCTCGTTCGTTTCCTCTCCGACTATTGCCCTCCCATTCTCTCAGCCACGCCAGGGGTTGCAGTCGTGGATTCTTCGGAATGATGGGAGCGATGCGGATACGAGGGCCGCGCTGGTTGAGTTTTTTGGATCTGGTACGACAACTTTTCTCACGCTTCTGGCGTGCGTCACTGGTGGAGTAGACTGGAGGGACGTGTCGAGCGTGCTGTTGAGTCTGGGCCCTTTCCACGCGTGGTTTTTCGTGCTGTTCATTGTGTTCACAGTGCTCTGCGTCTTGAACATTTTGAATGGTGTTTTCGTAAATGCCGCCATCGACTCTGCCCAGACGAACAAGGAGCTGGCCGTGGATAGAGCCTATCATAAGAAGGTCGCTATGATAGAGCAGATGGTGCAGTGGTTCGTCGAGGCGGACAAAGACCGCTCGCGCACCGTGTCGTGGCAGGAGCTGCGGAATCTGCTTGCAGATGATACCGTACGTGCGTTCTTGCATGCTAACAACATCGACCTCGCAAGCGCCGGTCACATCTTCTTACTCTTGGACCGGCAAGGTTTCCGCAGATGGCATCTATGCACCACCGCCGCACCTGGCCAGGGCCATCCTAGGCCCAAGGATGGTGCACGGATCCCCCTGGCCCCCCGTTCTCGGCGAGGATGGCGTTTACGCGCGCCGTGCCGGGGCAGGGATAGTCCTGGCGAGGCATTGTAGAGGCGTATAGATGCTTTCTGTGAGAGGTTGTGGGGAGATCAGGCCCGAAGAGTTTGTGGATAACCTGATCACACTGCAGGGCGAAGCCAAGGCCATCGATTTGGCATCGCTCCAGATGGTGTGTGAGGACAGTGCGCAGCGGGTCGGGCCCATCACTAGGAGGAAAAAGAGGACGGAGGGATGAGGATGAGGACAATGAGGCGGATGATGAAGACCTTGATGATGATGGTGAGTATGGTGGTGATGATAATGATGATAACCCAAATGATGATGAACATAATGGCGACGGCAACATGTGGAGGAGGAGGATGCCGACGATGGAACTCAGACCGACTATCAGACTAGTTAATTTTGATATTGATGATACTGATTGTGACGATACTGATGAGGACGACATGATGACGATGGTGGTTATCGTGATGATGGTATTGATGCGGATGACGTTGCTGTTGAGGATGATACGGGTGATGATGACCAGGATGTTGATGATGATGCTGATACTGATGACGATGACGATGGTTATAATGATGATGCTGATGATGACCATGATGACGACGAGGAGGGTGATGATTCTGATGATACTGATGATGATGCTTGTGATGATGTTGAGGCTGATGCTGATCATGAGGACGACGAGTTGGATGCTCATGATGAGGATGATTTGGACGATGCCGATACAGCCAATGGTGATCATGCTGACTTTGACGATGATGCCGATGATGATGCTGATAAGAATGATGATGATGATGATGATGATGATGATGATGGCGATGATGAGGAGTATGACAACGATGCTGGTCATGATGATGCTGGTGATGCTCAGCACGATGATGATGATGATTATGATAACGATGATGAGGATCATGTTGATCATGCTGATGTTGATGACGATGCTGCTGATGATGATGATGATGCTGATGCTGATGCTGATGATAATGATTATGTCGGCGATGCTGATGATGATTTAATGCTGGTGAGAATGACGACGACTGCGACGACGACGATGATGATGGTGATGGTGATGGTGATGGTGATGGTGATGGTGATGGTGATTGTGATGGTGATGGTGCTGAAGCTGCGGAGGATGATGATGCCGACGCTGACGCTGATAATCAAGACTTTACTGTCGATGACACTTTATTCGAATGACTATGGCGATGACATAGCGGATGACGGTTGAGGTGATGATGATAACGATGTTCATGAGGATGGGAAAGTTGTTGGTAAGGATGATCACGATGATGACGATGGTGTTTTCGAGGATGAATTTGCTGATGCTGGTGGTGATGCTGATGCTGGTGCTGATGCTGATAGTGCGGACGATGGGGAGGATGACGATGACGACGATGAGCATGTCGACGATGCTGATGCTGACCAGGATCATTATGATACTGATGATGATGCTGCTGATGATGACATTGATCACGACGACGATGTTGATGCCGATGCTGATGATGCTGGTGATGATGGTGATTATGATGATGCTGGTGATGAGGATGATAATGGCGACGATGATGATGACGATGACGAATCTGATGGTGATGATGGTGATGATGGTGGTGATGATGCTGATGCTGCTGGTGAGGGAACTGCTGATGATGCTGTTCATGACGATCACGACGACGACGTCGATGACGACGGTACTGAGGATGACGATGACGATGCTGCTGATACTCATGATGATAGTGATGGTGATGGCAATGGTGATGTTGATGGGGAATCTGGTGACGATGACGATGGCGATGACGAGGCTGCTGATGATGATGATGGTGATGGTGATGATGGTGATGATGATGTTGATGATGATTGTGAGGGTGATGGTTGTGTTGTTGATGGTGATAATGATGCTGCTGCTGCTGATGATGATGATGGTGATGCTGCTGATGAGATGATGCTTATGACGAGGACGATGCTGATGATACTGCTGCTGACGTTGCTGATGATGCTTATGACTGTTTTGATTTTGGTTATGGTAATGATGATTGTACTGCTGTCGCTGGTGGTGATGATGATGCTGCTGATGATGATGATGGCCTTGCTGTTGATGATTAGGATGGTGATTGTGATGGAGATGGTGATGATGATGATGCTGATGCTGCTGCTGATGCTGATGATCACGATGATGATGATGATGATGATGATGATGATGATGATGATGATGATGATGATGATGATGATGATGATGATGATGATGATGATGGTGATGATGATGATGATGATGATGATGATGCTGATGATGATGATGATGATGATGATGATGATCATCATCATCATCATCATCATGCTGATGATGCTGATGAGGGAATGTGAGGAATTTAGGAGGAGCGCGTGGTGGGGGGCAATGCGAGGACATGGCGCAGCGAGTCATCGAGATCGAGCAGGCGCTCTTCGACGGCCTCGGCCTGCGGCCTGCCGCCACGGTCTCGATCGACGCGTGACGGCCTCGCCTGACGCGCCCGTCGGATACGGAAGGGTAGGAGGGGGAAGGAGGAGGAGTAGGATGATGACAAGAAGGTGTATGCCCTCTTCGTCGTGCTTTGCGGGAACTCAGTCTGGTGGCCGGTCGTGTCTCGTCAGACAGCGCTTCAGCCGCTCGAGGGGGAGGAGGAGGAGGAGGAGGAGGAGGAGGAGGAGGAGGAGGAGAACGAGAAGGCGGAGGAGGAGGAGAACGAGGATGATGATGATGATAATGATAATGATGATGATGATGATGATGATGATGATGATGATGATGATGATGATGAGGATGAGGATGAGGATGATGATGATGATGATGATGATGATGACGATGATGATGATGATGCTGCTGATGCTGATGATGGTGATGATGATGCTGAGGCTGACGATGATGATGATGATGATGACGATGATGATGATGATGATGATGATGATGATGATGATGATGATGATGAGGATGAGGATGAGGATGAGGATGAGGATGAGGATGAGGATGATGATGATGATGATGATGATGATGATGATGATGATGATGATGATGATGATGATGATGATGATGATGATGATGATGATGATGATGATGATGATGATGCTGATGATTGGGAGGAGGAGGAGGAGGAGGAGGAGGAGGAGGAGGAGGATTAGGATGAGGATGAGGATGAGGAGGCGGAGGAGGAGGGAGAGGGGCGGTGAGTATGGTGGAGGAGGAGGGCTAGCAGTGGGAGTTGGACGCGTCGGGGGGGATGGGGTAGGAGGGGTAGGAAGAACAGCAGGAGGAAGGGTAGGGGGAGGGAGGAGAGGGGAGACTAAGTAAGAACACAGGACGAGTTATAGGAGGGGGAGGAAGCGGAGGGGGGAAGGGGAAGGGCTAGGAGAAAATATATTCGCCCCTTTCCTTCGCTGCCGACGACGCGCTGCCAGACTCACCGCGCACAACTCTTCAGCGCCCTTGCGTGCAAGCTTTGCGTTGTGAGTGCGTGTGTATCTACACGGTAGAGAGGGAATATCGTCCATGATATGCCACATCTTCACGTCCGCCAAGCCTTGCCCAGTTTTTTGGCATTCCATGCGGCGGGGTATCTAACACGGTTGTCCTGAGCTGTAAACATCCAGGCCACCCAGGGGGATATCTAACCTGGTTTTCCCGAGCTTGAATCCTGTGTTTTTACGTGTCCAGGCCGCCCAGGGTTGTGTCTAACATGATTGTCCCGAGCTGACACCATGTGTTTTTACGTGTGCAGGCCACCCCAGGGGATATCTAACATAGTTGTCCCGAGCAATGACCACGTGTTTTAACGTGTCCAGGCCACCCTGGAGTGTATCTAATATGGTTGCCCAGAGCTGGTCCCCCGTGTGTTTACGTGTCCGGGCGACCCAGGGGGATATCTAACCTGGTTTTCCCGAGCTTGAACCATGTGTTTTTACGTGTCCAGGCCGCCCAGGGTTGTGTCTAACATGATTGTCCCGAGCTGGCACCACGTGTTTTTACGTGTGCAGGCCACCCCAGGGGATATCTACCATGGTTGCCCCGAGCAAGGACCACTTGTTTTGACGTGTCCAGGCCACCCAGGGGTGTGTCTAACATGGTTGCCCAGAGCTGGTCCCCCGTGTGTTTGCGTGTCCAGGCCACCCAGGGGGTATCTAACATGACTGTTCCGCATTGGAACCGCGTGGCTTTACGTGTCCAGGCCGCCCAGGTGGGTACTTAACATGTGTCCGGGCCACCTAGGGGGTATCTAACATGGGCCTTCCTGGGGCCTTTCTGGGGGCCTGGAACGGACGTCTGACATGAAGATGGGTTGAGGATGCCTCGAGCGAACCAATTTGTTCCCCTTCCAGTTCGCCCAGGCGGATGTCTAGCATGAGGTGGCACGTCCATCGGCACGTTCCGTAGCGCGTCCCCTTTGGCATGTCCCGCGGTGCGTTCCCATGGCACGTCCCCTGGCACGTCGCCTGGCGCGTCCCTTGAAACGTTCCGCGGCGCGTCCTCCTAGCATGTCCCCTTGTCAATTAGCTCTGGGGCAGCTACTATGTGCTCAGGTAGCTCGAGCTTAAGATCCATACCAGTTCGGTCGGGACTCGGATGCAAAGGAGGACTCGATCCACAACGCTATAGAGCACAATCGCGGCATGGCACTTCGCAATTCAGCACGGCGCAGCACAGCACAGCCCTCGGCACGGTACATCAAGATCAATACACTCAGCATTGCAACTTGGCACGTTCCCTGGCACGTTCCCGTGGCGCGTCCCGTGGCGAGCCTCCCTGGCACGTCGCGCGGCGCGTCCCCTGGCACGTCCCGTGGCACGTCCATTGGTACGTTCCGTAACGCGTCCCCTTAGCACGTCCCGCGGTGCGTCCCCATGGCTCGTCCCCTTGCACGTTGCCTGGCGCGTCCCTTGGAACGTTCCGCGGCGCGTCCTCCTGGCATGTCCCCTTGCCAATTAGCTGTGGGGCAGCTACTGAGCGCTCAGGCAGCTCGAGTTCGGTCAGGACTCGGATGCAACGGAGGACTCGATCCACAACGCTACAGCGCACAATCGCGGCATGGCACTTCGCAATTCAGCACGGCGCAGCACAGCACAGCCCTCGGCACGGTACATCAAGATCAATACACTCAGCATTGCAATTTGGCACGTTCCCTGGCACGTTCCGTTGCGCGTCCCGTGGCGAATCCCCCTGGCACGTCGCGCGGCGCGTCCCCCCCCTGGCACGTCCCGTGGCACGTCCATTGGCACGTTCCGTAACGCGTTCCCTTGGCACGTCCCGCGGTGCGTCCCCATGGCACGTCCCCTGGCACGTTGCCTGGCGCGTCCCTTGGGACGTTCCGCGGCGCGTCCTCCTGGCATGTCCCCTTTGTCGATTAGTTCTGGGGCAGCTACCATGTGCTCAGGCAGCTCGAGCTTAAAATCCAGATCAGTTCGGTCAGGGCTCGGATGCAAAGGAGGACTCGATCCACAATGCTACATCGAGCACAGTCGTGGCATGGCACATCGCAATTCAGCGCGGCGCAGCACAGCGCAGCCCTCGGCACGGTACATCAAGGTCGATGCATTCAGCATTGCATTTGCCCGTCGTTCAATCAGGTGTCTTTTAAATGTTGCCATGCCTTACAGTTCTATTGTCCTTTCCGGGTTCGTGGGTCGATCATGTTCCTGGCCAGAATTGCTTCAAACGGTCGGGGTTGGACCTACCAAGCCGGGAGAGGTACCAGTTGGCCAGGATCAATGCGAATTCCCCCCCCCCCCCCCCCCTACCCTCCCGGCCCTACCCCCCTCACCTCCCCTACCTCTCCCCCCCGTCACGGAGGGGGAATTGGGAGGGAATGCACTTAACTACGACGTTTCTTGTTGGTCTTTTTGCGCATTTGTCTTGCATTGCATGTTGTCCAGACACGCTGGATTCCCGAGTCCACGGCCTTGCCCACTCGGTCTTGAGTAGGCCTGGTTGCTGTCCGCAACGTTACGGTGGTCTCATCGCATCGCATCGCATCTGAATTCCCTTGGGGCTGGGGACGACGACTGCGATGGCGACGTGCTACGACGAAGATGACGACAGCGTCTCACACACGCCGAATGTCCAGCGGATCAGTTCATTCTCTTCCATCTGGAAGTTATGTAGTTTTGAGCATGTGCGGCGGTCCCCAGTCGTACTGGGATTCTTCTCGGACAGGGCTCTGGCCCAGGTTTCTTTTTTAATGGTTTACCCCTGGAATCGACCTCAAGTGGGCTGGCGAAGTTATAAACCTGTGATAACAAATGAGGACATGGTGGGCCGGCATACAAGTCGGGTATGGCCAGGACCCCACGTAAGGGGACCCGGTTAGTGGTAGGACCCCGGAGCCTTTGAGGTGGCCAGAATCACCAAACCAGGTTTGCCAGAGCTGCTGTTTTTTCAGGTGACGGCAGTACCGGTTAGTGGAAATGGGACGGGGGGGCTCCCCCGGTACAAATCACTAAACCAGGTTCCACTAGACCCAGTTCTGCCAACGCCTGAACAAGGATGTGAGGATATCCCGAGCGAAACGTTTGTTTTGCAGACATTGTTGAGGATGTCTCAAGCGAAATGTGTGTTTTGTGTTATAGATTGTCCTCTCCTGGCGACCAGGATTCAGAGGATCTCTCAAGTGAAATGCTTTGTTTCACGTGCCCAGGTCTTGAGGATGTCTCGAGCGAGACGCTTGCTTGAACGCGTCCAGCTTGCCCAGGCAGATGTCTAGCATGAAGGTATGTTAAGGCTGTCTCGAGAGAGACGCGTGTTTTCGCGCGTCCAGGTCGGCTAGGCGGATGTCTGCCATGATGTTGTGTTGAGGAAGTCTCGACCGAGACGCTTGTTTGCACGTGTCCAGGTCGCCCAGGCGGATGTCTAGCATATGGATGTGTTGAGAATGTCTGGAGCGAAACGCTTGTTTTCACGTGTCCAGGTCGCCCAGGCGGATGTCTAACATGAAGATGTGTTGAGGATGTCTCGAGCGAGACGTGTGCTTTCACGTGTCCAGGTCGCCCAGGCAGATGTCTAGCATGAGAAGGTGCTGATAATGTCTTGAGCGAAACGCTTGTTTTCACGTGTCCTGGTCACCCAGGCGGACGTCTAACATGAAGATGTGTTGAGGATGTCTCGAGCGAACCAATGGTTTTCACATGTCCAGGTTGCCCAGGCGGATGTCTGGTACGAGGACGTGTTGAGGACGTGTTGAGCGAAACACTTGTTTTCACGTGTCCAGGTCGCCAGTCAGCTCGAGCGTAAGATCCAGATCTGTTGGATCAGGACTCGGATGCAGAGGAGGACTCGATCCACAACGCTATAGAGCACAATCGCGGCATGGTACATCTCAATTCAGCACGGCGCAGCGCAGCGCATTCCTTTGCACGGTACATCAAGATCGATACATTCAGCATTGCAATTTTGCACGTTCCTTGGCTTGGCACGTTCCCGTGGCGCGTCCCGTGGCGAGTGCCCCCTGGCACGTCGCGCGGCGCGTCCCCTGGCACGTCCCGTGGCACGTCCGTTGGCACGTGCCGTAGCGCGTCCCCATGGCACGTCCCGCGGTGCGTCCCCTTGCACGCCCCCTGGCACGTCGGCTGGCGCGTCTCTTGAGACGTTCCGCGGCGCGTCTTCCTGGCATGTCCTCCTGTGAGTCAGCTCTGGGCCGGCTACTATTTGCTCAGACAGCTCGAGCTTAAGATCCAGATCAGTACGGTCAGGACTCGGATGCAACGGAGGACTCGATCCACAACGCTACAGAGCACCATCGCGTCATAACACATCGCAATTCATCACCGCGCAACACAGCACAGCCTCGGCACGGTACGTCAAGATCGATACGCTCATCATTGCAATTTGGCATGTTCTTTGGTACGTTCCGTGGCGCGTCCCGTGGCGATTGCCCCCTGGCACGTCGCGCGGCGCGTCCCCTGGGGACGTCCCGTGGCACGTCCATTGGTACGTACCGCAGCGCGTCCCCATAGCACGTCCCGCGGTGCGTCCCCATATGCACGCCCCCTGGCACGTCGGCTGGCGCGTCCCTTGGGACGTTCCGCGGCGCGTCCTCCTGGCACGTCCCCCTGTCAATTAGCTCTGGGGCAGCTACTCTGTGCTCGGGCAGCTCGAGCTTAAGATCCAGATCAGTACGGTCAGGACTCGGATGCAACGGAGGACTCGATCCACAACGCTACAGCGCACAATCGCGGCATGACACATCGCAATTCAGCACGGCGCAGCACAGCACAGCCTTCGTCACGGTACGTCAAGATCGATACACTCAGTATTGCAATTTGGCACGTTCTTTGGCACGTTCCGTGGCGAGTGCCTTTGGCACGTCGCGCGGCGCGTCCCCTGGGGACGCCCCGTGGCACGTGTATTGGCACGTTCCGT